GGGCATGTATGACAGGGAGAGGGGGCCGTGCGCTCGCCCCCCACCCTCTTTCCTGCCCTGCCAGGCCCGTGCTCGATCAAGGGTCCGCTTGGGTTTTTTAAGGGGGACCTTACGTATTTCTTTCCCCATTTTTGGGGGTGGGGTTCCTTCTTAAAACTCCTACCAGACCTGGTATGGTTTGGGAGGGGGACCCCACACTGTTCTTTAGGATTTTTTAAATTTTTCTTTTTCTTTTACATTTAAATAATTTGTAAACATTTTTTTCCCATTTGTTTACATTTATTTATTTCTATTCTGCTCGCTACCTCGGAGGCAGTCAGCAGAATAGCCAAGCCGAATGCCGCTCGGCGGCATTCAGCTATTCACTCACTGCCGTTCAGCCCCTATGAGAATAGTGGCGAACGGCAATGAGAGAACTGCCGGAGCTTTGGCTCAACCGATCCAGATGTTGGATCGGCTAAGTCGAACTCCTTCTGCATTTCGGCTGACCAAAGGCAGCCGTACTGAGCCGGAGTGAATAGCCAAACGTCGCTCTGCTCTGTTCACTTCGCTCAGTTATTCACTTGGCTGCCTTTGGCATCTAAGTGAATAACCCCCTAGGTGTCTTAATAGACCCCTGATGTCTCCTTAAAGAGAACCTGTCACCTGCACTTTGCTATCACATAACATAGTTTTGATCGCAAGTAGAAGAAAATAAAAAAAAGCTAAAAAATTTAAGTTTAATGAAATAAATAACTCGAAAACATTTTTTAAGTTCCCATGCACAAACCCAAATGGATGCCGGGTGTGAAGGCATACGCATAAAAAGCTTTTAAAGTGTCACCCATGGAAAATATGGGTTACCATAGTTTGTTGCTGTTTCACAGGTATGTGTCTGCCATAGTCCCAGCAGTGATGTCATTGTGAGGAGTGGTGCAGGATATGGAGCCTACAGGAGGGTAAGACTCACTGAACAACGCTTGTGACCTTTTATTAGCCCACTGACGTAGGGGCATTTTGTTTTCTACTTATCACCGATGCGGAGGCCTTTATTACTCCTACTGGCCACGGACACCAGGGCATTAGGGACCATTCACACTGGATCCATTGCTTTGCGTTTTTCAACAGATGACCTTCCGTTAGCATCTGTTTAAAAGCGGATTGCAACACAACAGATCGTAAGGTTACAATTGCAAATCAAGAGACCCTCTGTTGACGTTTTCCTTCCAGTTTTGGTGTGAATGCACTCTTAGTTAGTTTACTGACCATTATGCATTTTACACTGACTACAGATGTATAGCATCTTTTATTAACACAGATGTATGGGGCATTGTTTTTTTTTTTTAAACTAACTCTGACTACTGATGCAGGGGCATTAATTACCTCCACTGACCCTCAACACTGGGACATTTTGTACTTCCACTCAGGGCCATCCCTCTTTTTATCACCACCTGAGTTGCCAGACTGAGCTGTCAGCGGAGCTGGGCGAGAAATGGCAGACCACTGAGCTGTCAGAGCTGGAGGATGGGGGGGGGGGGGGAGGACACCCCTGCTCCTATTAACCATCAACACATGCATGTTTACCCCCGCTGGCCACATGTGCAAAAACATTTATTACTTTCATTGACCATTGATCCTGGGCATTTCGTACTCTCACTGATGCACATGTTCAAGTAATATTATATTAAAGTAATATTAAAGACACCAAAGTGTCATGACATGAAGCAAAAACTAAATTATGTTCATGCCGGATCTTACAATTTTACCAAATTTAGAACAAAATAAACTTGCAATTATGTTACAGCATGATTTTTTTAGTTCTATATATTGAATTCTGGCTCTGATTAAAAGTCTTTTACCAGTTTCTATTTTATAGATTTTAGACTGGATTCACACTGTTTCTTTTGCATTTAGTGTACATTGACACATTGCACTTGAGTTGATTTTTTTTATTTTAATGCATTGCGATATGCATTTTTGTTTTAACAATTTGCATTGATATGTGGGTTTTTGTTCAAAGTAAGACACAAAATACATTATTTTTCTTTCCTTATTGTGCATTGTTGTGTGCTGTGAAAGTTATAATGCACTGTGCTATGTTTAAATGCAACATGTTACACTTTCACCCAGAGCACACTGACACAATATGTCACTGTGACATGAGCCCATTGGAACAAATTAATATCAGCTTGTTAATGTACTGGGCCTTTGTTAAGCAATGCAGCCCAATACAGGTGGTGTGAATGGATCCTTAATCATGTATTGACCACAGAAATGACAGCATACCAACTAATCATAATAGACACTGAAAAGCAATTAAAGTAAAGAGTAAAAATTAGGGATGCACCGATACTAGTATCGGTGCCGATACCGAGTACTCTGCCAAATGCTCTGATACTTACCTCCGATACCACAACTTCCGGTCAGATACAGATCTCCCTCTGACTGTCATTGCCAAGAGAGCCGGCTTCCTTTCCAATCAGGAAGCCGGGTGGCGGGTTATGGCCCACCTCCAGGCTTCCTGATTGACTTGACAGCTGGCCTCACTTGTTGCTAGGCTGCCTGGCTTTCTAATTAATCAGGAAGCCAGGCGGCACGTCATGACCCGCCTCCCGGTTTCCTGATTGGAAAGGAAGCTGACTGCCTAGCAACAAGTGAAGATGGTGTTCTTTCGATAGATCCCCTGGCAATCAGGAAGGACAAGATTTGCTGCCCGGCTTCCTGATAATTGGGGCACATGACACTGGTATCGGCGAGTACAGAAAATAATATATCAGTACTCGATACCGAAAAACTGGTATCGGTGCATCCTTAGTTTAAACATTCTAGTTTGTTGCAGAATCAGCTGGTCCCCTGAGCACTGCTCCTGACTTCCTGTTTTAGAGTGACTGCTTTCTTAAGCAGAGTGCTATGCAGTCACATAGAATCACATAGTGTATGCTAGTAAGGTGTGCGTGTCTCCACAAACACTGCAAATCAAGCTACTCCCCTCCCCTCTGGCCCCCTCCTTCTCCAAGCTAGTACATGGACAGCTTCTGGAGTATGAACAGTTGCTGGGATTTGCTCCATTGTGTGTCCATTGTGATCTAGTACTGGATAGGGAGTTTAGGGAAGCTTTTTAAATTTTAAAAAGGCAAACTTTGACAAGGTGTGCCATTTACTGTGCAATACCAAATGGGACAAATATCAATATAAAACTTAATTTCTTATTGGTCTAAGGTTATGGAAGGTGTTAATAGCCATATTTCTGTGTTTGCTGATACGAAAAGTTGCAGAGTAATAAACTCAAGATTACACATAACATTACAGGAGGTCCTGGATAAAATAGGGGAGTGGGCAACTACATGGCATATAACATTTAATATCGAAAAATGTAAAGTACTGCATGTTGTTGTTAACAATAGGCATGCAGACTACACTTTAATGGGAGCTCCACTACAGTGTAGTACTTTCTGCACCAGCAATAATATGAATTTTAGAATATGATAAACTATTTTTTTTTTTAAAACCACCTCCCGTCCATTCTTGAACGACAGGGCTAGAGTTTTGTAGGAGCGGGAGGACGTTTTAAGACGTCCTACCGCTACCCCCGCTTGCGCGAGGCACTCACACGAGTGGGGAACTGCTAGCAATGTAAACAGCCAGCACCTCTAGAGACGTTCAATCGCTTGCAGGAGCTGCTGGTGTGCCTCCGCCACCAGTCCCGAGATGCGCTGCGCCCGGGACCAGCATGGCGACGCTCTCAGTGGAGATCAAAGGAGTTCAGTACACGATCTCCCTTTGATCTCTTCTTGGCCCCCCTTTGCAGGAAGTGATGTATATTACATCAGGTCCTGCATTGCGTGTCACTCTCCGGTACAGAACACCAGTGAGAAGCTGATGAAGCAGATCTCTGCTTCATCAGCTTCTCTGGGGGTCCCTAGGTGACATTAGGGATCTTAGAGACCCCTAATGTCTCCATAAAGAGGACCTGTCATGTGAATTGGCTATCACATAGGGGATTTCTTAATCCCCTATGTGATAGCAATAAAGTTAAATGTAAAAAAAAAAAAGCAAAAAAGAAAAGCAAAAAAAAATAGTCGCAAATAACACGAAATTATTTTTAAAAGTCCCCCGCCCCCCCACATACACACGCAAACATACGTCGGGTGCGCCAACGTACGAATACGCCAATTGTGCCGCACATGTTACACATCGCTGCGAACGTCGGAATGAGAGCAATAACTTTAAGGCCATTAATAACTGCTTACATTAAACTGATGAGCGGTAAAAGCTTTTAAAGCGTCGCCTATGGCCAATTTTGGGTGTGTTCATTTTCTGGTGTCTATTTACCCAACGTGGCCCCATCTTTTATATTTTACCAAAAAATTGGGGTGATAATAAATGTTTCATAACATTTCATAGGGAAACAGGTTTTTTTCAAAATTTAGGGTACTTTTTTGGCATATAGTAAAAAAATAAAAACCCCAGTGGTGATTAAATATCACCAAAAGAAAGCTCTATCTGCCCCCCCAAAAATTGTATAAAATTAATTTCAGTACAGCGTTGCATGACTGAATAAATGTCAAAGTACCGCAGCACTGAATACTGAAAAATGGCCTGGTCAGGAAGGGGGTGTAACACCCTGGTCTTCAAGTGGTTAAATTAAGAGATCTGATAGAATTTGGTCTGGTGTGTTGGTTCAAAAAGCCCTCATATTCTATTGATAGGAAAAGGTGTGTATCTATCCTATGTGATTCTTCACACTAGAAATGAGGTGACATAATTGTAATGTACAAATTGTTTAATGGTGATGGTAATATCAGTAATAAACTGTTTACTGTAAACACTAAAGAGGACAAGGGGCCACCACCTGAAATTGGAGGATAAAGGGTTTAACCACAAAGAGCGTAGGGGATTCAACAGAAGCAGCGTTATCAGCAGAGAGTATTGAATCTTTAAAGAACCATTTAGATACTTTCCACAGAGATCAGAACATACAGGGGTACAGGTACTCTTAATGACTAGTACACACAGACACACACACACACATATATATATATATATATATATATATATACATACATATACACACACACACACACACTGAACTTGATGGACCTGTGTCTTTATTCAACTTCAAATACTATGTAACTATTCATTTCTTCAATTGTCACCTACATTACTCCCATTGGGGATGAACCTTGTGGTGGTGAAGAGATCTTGTTTTTCAGAGCAGAAGAAATGTGGATTTAAAAAGCACATGGATACACTTTATTAAAGAGCAGTTGTGGACAGTTGTTCCACATGCAAACACAAGGATTAACATTCCATACAGACTTCCTGACATGAAGGGATTTTTTTAGCCAAATCTCAATTATGACATGATCATGGATTTCAACAAATTAAGACTTCTCACAGAGCAGTACAAAGCAGTAGATGTATCTCACATAAAAAGTGCAAAGTATCAGCAGGTTTGCTGGTATAAACCACAACATCTCTGGAAAATGTGATTATAGTAAGTTATTTAACCTTGTCCTGATTAATACCTATGTTATATGTCTGACATTGAAAACTGTACATGTTCAAGAGGAATTTTATTTCCATCTAGCATCATATACGGTTTGTTAATATGTTGAGATTTTTCATTCTTTATTTAAATAAATTACTTACTTGGGAAGAGAAGGTGCACACAAGAAAGTCTGCCTGCGATAAAAAATGGATATCAAGAATGACACCGCGCAAAGAATTTTCAGTGTACCGGTTATGCAGACCCGCAGACCATGATATGGAATTATCACTAATAAATTCATACTGTGAATATCTGAAGAACAAAAACAATACAGGGAAACAATAAATTTGTTTTAAAACAATAATGACATATACTCATTGCAAATTATAAGTTTACTTTGGACCCTATACTTTTTAAAATGATTCCATTAGGGAAAATCTTTCAAAGTAAAACTAACAAAGAAGTAACAGTAGTAAAAAAGAAAAACACAACATGACAGATACAATTGTCTATGTATTTATTTATTTGTTGTATAAATGTGGTGCAGGCACTTGTTTCCCTTTTTTAGGCCGAGAACATTTTTAGCAAGTACAGAAAATAACTGTTAAGCTGGCCACAAATGCAGTGTCCTTGTTATCTCTTGTTGGTACATTACTGGTCCCACTGAATCTACCCTATGATGGAGATGAACAAAGGCAGACATATTTGAAGTTCACAGTGTGTGGTACACATGATCCATGTGGTACCCATAATCCTGCGAATGGCACACTTCCTGTCCTTTTGTAGCTACAAAAGAGAAAATAAAGAGAAAAAAGTCAGGGAAAAAAGAAAACTAATGCAGCCAGAATGGCTAAGGACTGGTACGCTGCAATATACTAGGGTTTTGCTTTTGGAGTTATTTAAAAGAAGAAGTTTTCCCCAGGGAAAGGGGATCCCACCATTCTTTAGAAAAACTACATACCAATTTAAATGGTGAAAAAGGTATATATTATTTTATAATCGATATCGATTTTAATGAATAAATAATATATACCTTTTTCACCATTTAAATTGGTATGTAGTTTTTCTAAAGAATGGTGGGATCCCCTTTCCCTGGGGAAAACTTCTTCTTTTAAATAACTTTGAATAGTTAGGGGACCCCCATTTATATCTAATTTAGATTTGAAATATTGGGCATATACCTTCCCTTCCCCGTTCTCTTTTTTTGGTAAAGGTTTTGCTTTTGGGTTTAGATACACTGATTAGAGAGAATTTAGTTTTACAAATAAACATTTTGTATACATTACATAGGATTACCCGAGCTAAAGAGACAACACAGAAGTAGCATAATTTGTGCAATTTAGTTGCGCTAGGAGAAAGAACACACCTAATCACCAGCTGCAACAATGTGTATAAATAATGATCATATAAAACTGATATGTTAACACAGAAATAGCAGCAAGTGCTTTCCTGATGTGCTGTCCAAGTTCTTCTGCAAAAGCACAAAGAAACAGGTAACGCTGAGGACCAGAAATGCAGTGGTCAGCCGAGAACATAGTGTGGCAAATGGAAGACATATGTCGATTTCTTTTCACAACTGAATAGTGTCCAGTGACACCATAAGCTTAGACTTGGAACCCAGGGTACACCCATAAACCAGTGGAACCCAGGGTACACCCAGCTACAGTTCAGAGAAATCTGGCCAGCAGTGGTCTCCATAGAAGACTTGTGGCTAAAGAGCCATATCTCCGACATGCAAACAAGGCCAAGGGTCTATGCATGATGTTCAGAAAATATGCAGCAGGTGCTTTGGGTTGATGAGTCCAAATTTCAAATATCTGGCTGCAACAGAAAGTAGTTTGTTTGCTGAAGGATTTAAGAGCAGTGCAAGAATGAGTGCCTGCAGGCAACAGTGAAGAATAGTGTAAGTTACTTAGGTTTGAGGCTGAATTTCTGTACATGGAGTTGGGGGATAGGATTAGAAAATACTATTAGAATCATTGCTGAAAACTACAGGCAGATACTTATACTTCATACAATATCATCTGGTAGGCATCTGAGTGGTCCCAAATTAATTCTGCAGCAGGTCCATCAATCCAAATACACAGCCATCATAAAGAACTATCTTCATTGAAAAGAACAAGAAATCCCCTACAGTGGCCAGATATCAACATCATGGAGACTGTCTGGGATTACATGAAGAGGGCAGAAGCAACTGAGACAGCCTTATTCCACAACAGAAGATTTGTGGTTAGTTGCGGCAACCTATCTGCAGAGTTCCTTAAAAAAACTGTGCAACTGTACATAAGGGAATTGATGAGGTTCTAGCTTCTTCTCTCCTTATCAATATGTATAAAGTATTTTTACATAATGAATGGGGCTTTACTTTCTCATTAATTGGCTTCAATAACTTTCTGAGCTAATGTCTTTGAACAAGCACGCTATTCACAAAAGTCAGAGCTCCTAACCTGCATATTTGATGCAACTGGATTAGTATGACATCCAGGGAACTCCTAATGCACTATTACAGCAGTGGGCAATGCTCTTGCACTATAGCGAACCACAATGTACATTCCGCATGGCCCGCTACAAAACAAAACAAAAAGCAAAAGATACAGGTACAGTTTTATGGGCATTAAATTGTGCTGTTAACCTATGTAAAACAAATGTGTTGCGTTAATGCAGATTAACACAACACATAGAGGGAAAATCAATAAAGGCTTAACACTAATTTTCTGGTGGTAAGGCACTTTCAAAACTCTTGCGCGAAATTATAAAAAAACTTGCAACAGATTCAAATAGTTATTAATTGCAATCTGTTGCTGTGGCTGGGACAGATTCAAAAAGAATTACCACTCATTTACAGATCAGAAAAATAGCGATAATCAAAACCAACTCTGATCTGGTGTACGGAGAAATGCCAGAGTGGGAAGCGACCATGAATGTGACAGTTGATCCTTCATTGGTAGTTAGAAAACTGAAACAAATTATGCCTCTTAGCAACCAATTATGTGGCTGAGTGAGCAGAGCCTAATGGGAAAGCTAAAGGACTAGATCCCCCATCTGGTCCGACTCCCTTGTGACTGAAAGCAGGCAGTGGGTGGACTCCATAGCCAATAGCTAGCATGCTATTGGTTATGGAATCTGACCACAGCCTTCTGTCAATCAGCAGCAAAGCGGACCTGATGGGGAACAAGTCCCTCAGCATGCTCTGCCCACCGTCAGTGTTACTAACAAGTGATGCAGACAGTAGGGGCAAAGCTTGATGGGGATGCTGAGGTAGTAGTTTTCCATCAGGTTCCACTGCTGTGTTGAACCTGATAGTTCCACAGTGAATTACACAGATAGTGTGGAACCTGATCAGTAAATTCCACTGACAGTGTAAAAGGGAATAGAGATTATAGATGGAAATAACCATATTGGAGGAGGACTAGGCATACTGGTTAACAGTAAGCTAAGCAATAGTGTTCAATGATAAGCTACAGCTACTGAAAATTAAAGAAAATATTGCCATGCATGTAAAGTGAATAAAAATATGACACAAACATAGAACTGTCCCATTAGAAATTTACAAGATAATTACAGTAAAAATAATGTAAATGTTTACATAACACTTCACAAAGCTAAAGCAGAACTCCACCTTTTTTCCACCCAAAAACAAATGCAATAATACCTGCTTATTTTGTTGTGTTGGTGCATTGTCCTCTCATATCCCAAAACTCTTAGTTACCACAGATCCAATATCACTTCCTCTCGAGTTAATGACTTATGTCTGACTGTGTGACATTCAGTGTCGCACAGCCATTTCCTGTGGGAGCCATGTCTTATAGACTCCCACTCTATAATCCTTCAAACTACAGAGGTGACGTCAGCATGCCCCCAATGCTGAGCGAAATTGAATAGGTCAGCATTCAATCTCACCCAGCCATGCGTGCCTAGATAGTAGCTGCAGAGAGCAGCATCAGTGAGGTGCATGCTGTGGACGGTGATAAAGAACTGAATTTGCCTTTACCCACCAACACTAAAGCCCTGAACAACCAACAGTGATGGACAGCCTGGAAAGACAGAAAGGTCCCAATTAATCATGGGAAATGTGGTTTTGGGGTATTAAAAAAAACAAGGAAGTGTACTCCAAAGTTTAATAGCAACTGGGAAGAAGTGTGACATCACAGACTCTGCAAATTAACTGTCGGGCACTTCAAGGTATTAGTTACAAAACTGACAGTGCAGTTGTGATTGTCTAACAGAGAGATGTCATGACTGCAGTGGGGAGAAAAATCCTTGAGTTGTTCTCTATTGCTAATGAAAACCTGCACAAAGAGGACTACCTGTTTAGGACTGGCCTACTTGTGGTACCCAGAGCCTGTGGTTAGCAAGCTGTGGTTTACTTCTCTTTATCTCACCATGTATGCACCTAAAATACAGAGGGGCAGGGTGTACTGAACATTTTTCTTTAAGTGCCAACTGTGTACATACATACGCACACACTATACTTTACACATACGTAAACTTTAATAGCATCTCAGTCTTAATCCGTAGGGTTCAATATTGAGTTGGCCCACCCTCTGCAGCTAGAACAGATTCAATTTTTCTGGGAAGGCTGTCCACAAGGTTTAGGAGTGTGTCTATGGGACTGTCACTGTGCAGGCCAGTCAAGTTCCTCCACCCCAAACACGCTCATCCATGTCTTTATGGACCTTGCTTTTTTACACTGGTGCGCAGTCATGTTGGAACAGGAAGGGGCCATCCCCAAACTGTTCCCATAAAGTTGGGAGCATGAAATTGTCCAAAATGTCTTGGTATGCTGATGCCTTAAGAGTTCCATTAAAATGGAATTAAGGGGCCAAGACCAACCCGAGAAAAACAACCCCACACCATAATCCCCCCTCCACCAAACTTTACACTTGGCACAATGCAGCCAGGCAAATACCGTTTTCCTGGCAACCGCCAAACCCAGATAGATTGCCAGACAGAGAAGCATGATTCGTAACTCCAGAGAACACGACTCTCCTTCTCTAGAGTCCAGTAGCGGTGTGCTTTACACCACTGCATCCAACGCTTTGCATTGCACTTGGTGATGCAAGGCTTGGATGCAGCTGCTTGGCCATGAAAACCCATTCCATGAAGCTCTCTACGCACTGTTGTTGTGCCAATCTGAAGGCCACACGAAGTTTGGAGGTCTGTAGCTATTGACTCTGCAGACAGTTGGCGACTTCTGCACACTGCGCACTTCAGCATGCGGTGACCCCACTCTGTAATTTTACGTGGCCTACCACTTTGTCACTGAGTTGCTGTTGTTCCCAGTTGCTTTCACTTTGTTATAATACCACTAACAGTTGACCGTAGACTATTTAGTAGCAAGGAAATTTCACGGATGGACTTATTGCACAGGTGGCAACCTAAGTACTGTGCTTGAATTCACTGAGCACCTGAGAGCGACCCATTCTTTCACACGTTTGTAGAAGCAGTCTGCATGCCTAGGTGCTTGATTTTATAGACCTGTGGCCATGGAGGTGATTGGAACACCTGAATCCAATGATTTGGAGGGGTGTCCTAATACTCTTGGCAATATAGTGTGTGTGCATATATCTATATATAGATGTATACCTATCTATATATATAGAGAGAGATATATAGATATCTCTAAAAGCTTTTAAAGTGCCGCATGAAGCCAATTTTAGCCATAGTAGTTTTTTGCGATTTCGCGGACGCACACAATTTTAAAGCTTGACATGTTTCGTGACTATTTGTCCGACATCACCCCATCTTTTCAATTTTACAAAAACATTGGGTAAAAATAAATGTTTTTATAACATAACTTAGAAAAAACAGTTTTTTGTTCCCAAATTTTCGGTCCTTTTTTCATTATATAGTCAAAAATAAAAACCCCAGTGGTGATTAAAAAACACCAAAAGAAAGCTCTATGCGTCCCCAAAAAATGGTGTAAAATTAATTTCAGTACAGCGTTGTATGAATAAATGTCAAAGTATCGCAGCGCTGAATACTGTAAAATGGCCTGGACTGGAAGGGGTTCAACACCCCGGTCAGCAAGCGGTTAAGATGTTCACATTTCCCAATGTTGTGCAGCATCTCACAGCAACCATTCCAAAATAATTTTAAAATCTGTGCTGCAAATTATTTTAATGGAATCCTGTGGGTTATTGTACACCAATGTTGCCATAAGTGCTGCAAATTTGAACTCTAAAATGATAAAAAGCAAAAAAAAAGCAACCAACCAAAACATCTTTTGCTTACCTCCAAAGTACTCCAAAGATAAAAAAAAATGTTTTTAAATATATCTTAATACTGCCTTACGACAGTAGTAGCTACGAAACAATAATATGCGATCACTTATCTGTAGATAATGTATATGTAATGGACCGGAAATCTGTACCATTAAACTTACTTTGACTTTGCCTCTTGGAGCAGTCCTGGGTCATCGGTTGCCAGGTAAACCCGTTTCTTGTCTATGTGCATCTTTCTAGCGAGAAGCTGAAAGTGCTCCTCAACATGTATCATATATTCTTCAATTGGGTGGAATGCTGCCTCTGTCCCAACTTTATCAGTTCTCCTAACATGGACTCTAGGTATAAAGAAACATGAATAGTATTTACAGTAAGATTAGATATACTGGGCAAGTTATAGATTCTGTATACCTTTTCATGTGCAGATTGGTCTTTAAAGATTTGTTTAAAAGGGAAAAAAACACCTAAACACACAGAAAGCAATACACACACAAGCTTTGTTACCTGTCAAGGGATTTGTATTTCTGTCCATGAATTCCTAAGATTTACACAGCCCCGTCATACAGTACAGACAGGTAGATTACATCATGTACAGTTAAGGACTACTGTGCAGTATTATCTCCCCACCCCTAGTCATCTGATAAGAGCAGTAGCCGACATATGAGGTCATGCCACTGCTCACTGATGTTGAGGGCAAGGAGAGGGAATAAATACACCTGCTTCTGCCAATTAGTGGTCACACTGCAGCTTATAAGATATGCTAGACAGATGAGGATCCGTGCTGCCAGTTAAACAGCAGGTCCTGGCAGGTACATATGTGCAACATATAAAAATGTACATAGGTTCATAACCAGTAAAAAAATATGTGCACATATACATTTGCCAGGCTATAATGAACAAGACTATGCAAGACACGTGAAATTTGTGGTAACTACTACAAAATAAACTTGACTCATCAGGGAATATCTGTCTTCATTCTGTTCAGTGATTTTTGGGTCCTTGCTGATAAAGTATCCACTGAAAATGCCTTCCTTCTAATTATCACCCTAATGAACTCCAATACAACTGCATAAGCAAATACCACACTGCGATGGCTGCCTCATTTAGATAGCCATTGATCTACAGTTCCAAAGAGAACTGCATGAACAGTCCGACTGATGCTTTTTTAAATATAAACATGTAGTATGAGATTAATTATTACCTTGATACATTATTCAAAGTGTCTTTTTGTTCTAACTGCAGAGCGGTCCAGCTGTCTGGAAGACCACAATTGTGTTAGCTGTGCTGTTTAGTCAGTTTCACCAAGATTCTTTTAGTGTTGGTAACAGCTGTCAGACAGAAGCTGTTAATCACACTATTGCAAGGTAAATGTCTAGTCCTAGGGGAAAGAAGGTATTAAACACATCTAGTGACCTAGGCACACAAATAACGGGTTATAAGAAGCAACAATGAGTTGCTCAGGTGGAAGAATTCATTGTTTGAGCAGAAACAAATCAATTTGCAATGCAGAGGGGAAAAATTAGGGGTCAACCGATACCATTTTTTCCAGACCAAGTACAGATACTCTCCCTCAAGTACTTGACGATACCAATTACAGATACTTTTTTTTTGTGCCATGTGACAGTTTTTCTAAAACAATGCAGACCAATGATTTTAGGACAGTGGTGGGAGTGCCAGGGCCCAGTCCCAGCTGCAATGCTTCGCCCCTGGTAGTTTTTCCACTGACTCCAAGCTGTACAAGGACAACAAATATCAACAATACATTATACAGCAATGCAGAATACCACCAGCTATAGAGGACTACAAATCCCAGCAATACATTATATATGCAAAATAATAGGATCTCAGGGGGGCTGTGTGGGATCTCACCAGGGATCGCGATCAGTCTCTAGAGCGGGTGCGCGCAACGGGGTTCCCAAGTATGATTACTTGTGAAAATGTGCAGTATCGGTATCAGTGCATCCCTAGCAAAATTATAACTGGACCACATACATGTAAAAGTGAACATTTTCTTTAAAGAGAATATAATGCCAATAAAGCCTAACGCTTTCAACTAAAGTGACATTTTTAGAGACGGCGTTTGGTAACAGTTAAAGTGACGGTCGAGTATATACAGCTAATCAACAGTGGCCCCTTTCACATTTTAGAAGATCTTTCCAGGAGAAGAAAATCAAGTGTAATATCTGGCATACTACTGTGTTCCTTTCACAGAGAACGGAGCATGAGAGATATTTTCATGGATGACACAGCCACAAAATAAATGTGGCTCATCCAAAGAAGACTTGAATCCATCAGTAAACATTAAACCCAACTTAGTGCTGTACTTATATCATGCAGAGAGTATAGGGATGCAAAGGGATGTGTGTTCATATTTAATGTCTTAAGTAGAATTTTACCAGTGTTACACACAAAGAACAGCTTTAACCCCTTCCTGTCCGGCCGTTGTAATTAAACAACCGGACTGGAGACTCTTGAATGCAGGTGGGCTTTTTAAAACTGACAGCAAAAGTAAACACCAAGCTATGGCTGTTTACATACATGCGTTCGGGTGGCTGTAGAGCTTATAGTCGATTATCTGGGCGTCCAAAATGTACAGGGGTGCAAATCTGGAACCAAGCACCTAAACAGCTGAACAAATGTGGTCTGGTAGATTAACTAAACAAACCAGGGAAAATAGGAAAATACAGGGAATCAGCTTCTCATGAATATGAATAACTGGTGCATTAAAAATGCAACAACAAGAAACTGGTTTAGTTTAATGATGTGATGGTTGTAAAATTATGGGGGGGCGAAAAAGATGGCTGCGGCTTAGCGTAGCTCTGATCCAACAGCCTGTAAAGCAATGATAACAAAGCGACACCGAACCCTAAATATCTTCTTCCCTCTCTTACTTTACCAGCACCTCTGCCCTGATAGTGGAGGATAGAGTGAAGGAGTTGTCTGAGGGCCACAACGACTTAGTGGGCAACTATCAGCGGCGCTCTGATGATCTTCAATGGATCAAACTCAAATTATCTGACTTAGAAGATCGTTTGAGAAGAAACAATATCAAATTTAGAGGTGTCCCTGAATCTGTGGCACCGCAACAGTTAACGTCTTTTGGCAGAATTGGTGCCTAATGTTACTCCATCTAAACTCACTAGCGTTAGTGCCCACAGGCTTGCCGGGCCCAAAGGACTGCGGAATTCCCTTCCCAGAGATGTGCGTGCGAGAGTTCACTTTTTTCACGTCAACGAATCTGCCATGTTCGCAGCAAGAAACAAGACATGGGTGACATCTCATTTTACTGGGATAACCCTTTATGCTGATCTGTCACAGTCCACTATCCTAAATAGGAAAAAGCTGGGTTCAATTATTTTTGCCCTCCGAGACCACAACATCCCCTACAAATGAGGTCACCCAACTAAGCTTCTCCTTTGTTTCCAAGGCAAAAAATATGTAATCTCATCAGGGGATGCAGGGATTTGCTTCCTGCGAGAAAAGTGTTTGGAAAAACATGCTACTAATGTACATGATATCCCGTCATCGCATCAGGATGATGATGACATAACCTGAAGAAGCTCCTTTCAAGCTCAGCTTCTACCCAGGGCTAAGATCATGAGTCTTCAATATTTCTCTTCACCTCTAATCCTTATTGTGTAGTTCGGATTCATTTAATCCACATTTTCCCCACATGTTTAGCAAGCTTCCTGCTCATTATGTTTTTATGGGATTTTTGCTTTTTTCTGTTTTTCCTGTGCTTTTTTCTTCAGCTCCAGTTTGCCAGTTATCTCCTATATCCTCATCAAAGGCTTCAAGCACCATTTTTTCCGTGGCAATGTTTCCACATCACTATCCTGTTTTTGGATACCGGTCATCTTTATCATATGGTAAGTCACCTTTAGCTTTGCCTCTTCCACAGCAAACAATGTACCGTATATACTCGAGTATAAGCCGTCCCGAATATAAGCCGAGGTAACCATGCCGTTTTAAATTGTTTACATCAATGAAAAAGGGCTGAACAGTCCATTTAAACGCTCGGCTTTGCTAAAGGAAACTAATAAGCAGGCGGACATCCTGTTCGTGCAAGAGACTCACTTTGCGCAAGGAAAAACTCCCAAGTTCTCTTTAACCACTTCAAGACCAGGTGTTTAGACCCCCTTCCTGGCCAGGCCATTTTTCAGTATTCAGCGCTGCGGTACTTTGACTGACGTTTATTCCGTCATGCAGCGCTGTACTGAAATGAATTTTATACCATTTTTTGGGGACAGATAGAGCTTTATTTCGGTGGTATTTAATCACCACTGGGGTTTTTATTTTTTACTATAATTAGGAAAAATTACAGAAAATTTGGGGAAAAAAAAGTTTTTTTTAACATTATGTTAGGAAACATTTATTATTACCCAGTTTTTTGGTAAAATATAAAAGATCGGGTCACGTCGGGTAAATAGACACCAAACATGTCAAGCTTTAAAATTGCGCGCACCCGCGAAATCGCAGAAAATTACCGTACCCAAAATTGGCCATGGGCGACGCTTTAAAAGCTTTTACCGCTCATCAGTTTAGTGTTATCAGTGATTAGCCGGCCGTGTTTTTACTCCGGCCCGCGCCGGAGGTGGTTAAAGGACTACTCTTCTATATATTTTGCTTCCACAGCTAAGAAACACGCTGGAGTTCTCGTTGCAATCCAAACTGATGTGCCATTTCAGCTGGAAGAATGTATATCGGACCCATGTGGTAGATATGTTATTGTGAAATGCACCATTCGCAATGTGCAATACTGTCTATGAAGAAGGTTTCTTTCTTCCATAAATGAAAATAATCGCTAAATATTCTTTTGATACTTTATTATTAGGAGGCGACTTTAACGCCATATATGATATTGATTTAGACCAGGGGTGTCCAAACTCCGGCCCTCCAGCTGTGGTGGAACTACAAATCCCATGAGGCATTGCAGGATTCTCACAGCTACATACATGACTCCCAGAGAGAGATGCATCATGGGATTTGTAGTTTCGCCACAGCTGGAGGGCCGGAGTTTGGACACTCCTGATTTAGACACTACGAGCCATAGCAGATGTTCCCTCTCAACCATTGGCACTTTACTCCATAAATATGACCTGCTTAATATTTGGAAGTGTTTTCATGGAAGTGAAAGAGACTACATTTTCTTGTCCCATGTACATAACACATATTCTAGAATAGACATGTTTCTGACTAGGGATGCAGATACTTTTCGAGTACCAGTGCAGATACTTGGCATTTTCATGAGAACTACCAGGGTTGCAGCTGGGACCTGGCTCTGGCGCTCCACCACTGTCCTGAAATCATTAGTCGATATTGTTTTAGAAAAACTGTCACATGACAATAAACAAAAATGTATCAGTACTCGTACTTGTAAGTACTCGGCAAGTACCAGTACTCGTACTGGTATCTGTGCATTCTTTATTTCTATTTATAAAAACAAAATCGTACATTAAAACGGAGATGTACAAATCCCAGGAGCTCCGTGTCCTCCTTACAAATGACAGCTGCCTCCTAATTTTTTTAATTTTCTCTAGTCTAGTCTTGGAGCTCAAAAGTATCGGTACATGTACTCCTACTTGCACTGAGTACTGTACTTGGTATATGTGCAACCCTATTTCTGACCAACAAACGCAAAACCAGAAAAGCATGTCAGACCATGCTCGGATTTCGAACCAGATAAACGATGGCCATGTAGTCCGAAAGAACTTTCTTTGGAAGCTTAACACCTTTATCTTTGCCCATCCTGAACATAAACAACGTCTATCCGAAGCAATGAAAATCTATTTTAAGTTGAACGATACCTGTGACGTTAATTGACATTATGGAATGCGCAGAAGGCTTACCTGAGGTTGGTGTGTATAAAAATAGGTGCGTAGATGAAGAAATCTGGAGCTCAACAACTTGATCAATTACTACATGAAATTCAGATTGCGGATCAGCAGAATGAGCTCCAGCCCTCACACCCTTGAGCCTCTAAGCTCTTAGATTTGAGGCAAAAGCTTTGCATACTGCCGCTCCACAATTTTGAACATACTTTGAAAAAGGTTAGGGCAAATTCCTATACCTTGAACAATAAGGCAGGTGTATATCTAGCTAGAAAACTAACAACAAAATAAAAAAAAATAAAAAAAATACCAGGCAACAAGTGTCTCTTTGTGACACTGACAGGTCGTAAACTCTTCTGACTTACAAGCCTGATTTGGTATCCCCAATAGGGAATTCTATCATACAAGTAAAATCCTACAAGTAAAATCCTTCCTTTCTACATATCACATCCCCATAATGTTACAAATTGACCTGTCAATTCTTAATTTCTCCAGGAGGAATCATTGGTAAATAAAAGGCATTGCCTTGTTTTACAATAAATGTGGGGATAAACAATACTTTACTAAATCTAATTCTATGATCAAATGGGAAAGAGATATGGGCACATCTTTCACAGAAGAGCAATGTCAGGACGCTATTGGACTATCTTTCAAAGTATCACACTGTTCTTCTAATCATTGGGGACAACAACAAAAACTCCTCCATAGGTGGTACATTACCCCATTCAAGCTTTCTAAATTTATTAAGGGCATATCACCTCTTTGTTGGAGAGGTTGCGGGTCAACCGGCTCACTGATCCATATCTTTTGGCATAGCAAATCTCTCATGTCCTTCTGAAATCAAATCTTCAAATTGATTTCAGACCTGGCACAAGATATAATTTCCCCAAATGTAGCTCTAGCCTTACTCCAATTATCATCATCCTCTCTTCCATATGGTCCAGGTCAATCATATTACATATTCTATACGCAGCCAAGACCCAGATAGCACAACTGTGGCATGGTCCCTCACCTCCGAATCATACGGACTTTGTTTGAAGAGTGAATTTACAATGTTCCTATGAACGAATGTTTGCCTTAAAAAAATAACAGGTTTTTTACTTTTCATAAAGCCTGGGAATTATGATTTCATAATCCTCTTTATACACCGTAACTATAGGATCAAACTAACTGTTTCATCTAGTGCAATGACTAGATTCTGTTTTATCTGTATGGTACTTCATTTTATGTAGCAATGTGAAGATTGCTTTCTATGACATTATTGTTAGAAATGCCGAAATGGGATACGTTATTTGAGGTTACACACCTATCTCTTCCTTACACCTTCCATCAAGGCTGATGTATTATAAAGGATATAGAAACAGGCCTCAATGGCTTAATGTGTCCCATCATATCAACTAAACCTGTCGGTTTACGTATGCAACTATTGTTCTGCAAGAAGGACAAAGGTGTGTGTTTAATATTGTTTTATCTACTTTCATTAATCCCTTAAATGCTTATTGCCAAATGTCAAACTTTTGTCACATTGATACTGTATGTGAAAATTCCTTAATAAAACAAAATAGTAAATAAAATATGAACAATGATTTTACATCAGTTAAAATTAGTATTAAACTCTCAAACTTTTTTCAATAATGCATCCAGATCAAATAAATTTACATTGCCCAGCAAAATAGGGCTTTATGTTTTTGTCCAAATACTTACCAATCATCAAGTTTCTTTCCAGCTGCTCCCAAGTCACTTAACTCAACTTTCCTGAACTTCCTGTACAAGATCACAAGGGGCAGAGCAGACTCCAGCAACTGTTCATCTACTAGCTTGGAGAAGGGAGGAGAGGGGGCCAGGGGGGAGGGAGGTAGCTTGATTTGCTGTGTCTGTGGAGACACACACAGCTTACTAGCACACACAAGTGTGAAAGGTGGCTGCATAGCACTCTACTTGAGAAAGGAGTCACTCAAAAAAAAAAGGAAGTCAGGACCAGAGGTCAGGGGACCAGCTGATGCTGCAGGAAACAAACTTTTAAACATCAAGAAGCAGCATTCATTGTAAGGGATTTCATCAGCATCTGAAATAGCTTAAACTCCTTTTGACTTTAATATTACTTTAACTAGATGTGCTTTATATGCTTACCCAATAATTGGATGTTTAAATCCCAGTTTTTTTGTGGCTTCCTCAATCTCCTTTTCCAGCCAAGGCTGAGGCCTGATTAAATACTTTACAAACTGAGAGACCCACCAAACAGCTGGGTCACCATGTAAACCAATCAACCGATCTGCAAGGTCTTCTGGTACTCCAAGTGGTAGGTAAGGAGGCCTTGGATGGAGACTGTCAACAATTGGCAACTCCACAACTTGAACATCTTTGTCATTTGCTTCACCTGTAACAGAGAAATATGAATTTCCGTAAACATCTTGTAAAAGAGAAGAGACGTAAGGGAAGGTTCAGATGCATGAAATATTTTCGCTTTGCCCACTTAACTTGAGTTACCAAATTTCCTATTCTGTCAAGTCACATCATGTGTAATAATGGTACAAATAGTAATATTCCCTTTGGTATCTTTAAGAGTATGATAAAAGCAGATGCAAAAAGTGGACATATGTCTCTGAGTCCCATCTATTAAAATAAATAAGTTAAAAACTTCAAACGATTCACAAGTATGTTTTACACTGTTAATAATTACCTTGTGGGTAAAAAAAATTGAAGGGTAATTCCTCTTTCCCAGGTGCATTTGGGAAAATGGAATTACCCCCTCCAATCTGGCCCTCTCCCCCCTTTGTCGAAGCACTGCCACATTGAGTACATGACAGCGCAGTTTAAAGAGGGGGCCGGATTGGAGGGGGTAATTCCAGTTTCTTAAATTCACCTAGGAAGGTGGAATTACCCCTTAAGCCTTTAGCTTGTGCACACCAGGTCTGCAAAAATTCTAATAAGACCCATAGGTATCTAAAACAAAACATAGGATGGATATCTTCCAATGATAACCAAAGAAAACACGATCACTGTCAAATTTAGAGGTTGAACTTTTTTTTAATATGTATGCACTAGTAAAATTAACCAACCTTAATGTTTCAACCTCTTCATTAATTTGCAGTATGCCCAGCAGCTCTTCTTCACTGTCCCTACCCTATCTCACTAGTTGACACTATTTTACATTCAAGTTAAACAGGTGGCTGTGCTCTTCACTCCCTGTCCCTGCCATTATATAGAGTAAGAAATATGGAGAGAAATATGGAGGCTGCCATTGCTGACCTTCTACTAAGAATACTATTTGCCTGGCTTGTTCTGGCTTCAGATCGTGATTCAGAACAAGCATGGAGATTAAAAAAACAGAATGAAGTGGGAAGTTCTGATTTGCATATTTAGTTTAGGTCATTGACTCAAAGGATTAAAGAAATTGGATTAGAATGTATCCAGGCATAAAGCATGTTCAGAAAAAGAGATTAGCAGTAACAGACTCCACATTCTGTCAGCACATGCTTTCTTGCAGGGAAATCAGCTTGTAATGACTTTGGTCAAAAACCATTGTTGATGTTAAAAGAGCCTTAATATCAATGTGTATAACTAAAAAATGAAGATCTGCAGGAATTAAAAAAAATTACATTTCAGCATACAAACAATTGTCAGTCAGAGGAATCAGAGCGACTGCCAAACAAGCTTACAAACTTTCAGGAACCAACTTGTCATCATTAGAAACAATTCTTAATAATTCCTCATTTACATTAACCTCCTATACATGTATGATATAATACATTGCTCTAAACATTACCAAGTTGAGATTAAACCTTGCCTTTTGAATTCTGTATGATGAAATACTGATTGAATTGTTTACTTGCTAATTAACCCCTTACGCTGCTTTGCCTGCTGTGGTATAAGTACACCCGCTTGAAGCCAAGGGTCGCTGACTCGCATCCATTGTCGCAACCAAAAAGCTCTGTAGCTGTGATTCATTGAAGGCAAACCACACAATTTAATTCAGCGTTGTTTCCTAGTGAAGCGTTACATACAGTGTGGCAAATAATTATTTGATCACCTGCAGATTTTGTACGTTTGCACACTTAGAAAGAAATTAAACGTCTATAATATTTTATCATAGGTGTATTTTAAATTATAGATACAGAATATCAACCAAAAATCCAGAAAAAAAACACGCATGCGTCTTAATTTAGGTGGCCGGAGACTGCCAGATGACCCCGCTCAGAGCGCCGCCCACCGGAGCAGCAGTGACGCGACACTCGGCGAGGTAAGTAAGAAAAAGAAAACCCTGCAGTGGCCAGTCAGGAGCAGGGACGAGTCAGCGGCAGCGCTGGTCCGGCGAGAGGAGCTCCAGGTGGTGTTCTAATTTAGCTGGCAGACACCTCTAAGCCAGCTTAATTAGGACCCTACCTGGAGCTCCTCCCACTGGACCAGCGCTGCCGCTGACTCGTCCCTGCTCTCTCCGGCACATTGAGTGAGGGCAGATTTGGGTTCTATTAAGCAACTACCATATATATTGCCTGCACTGTATTAGCAGTATATACTCTATATGTACTACAGAGTACATATAGAGTACACACTGCTAATACAGTGCAGACAATACATTTACAATTATACTCCAACATGAATGGAATGAATGATCTGTATGTAGCCCTGTACTAGGGATCATTTAAACCCATTCATGTTAGCAGAGGATAATTGTAAATGTATTGTTGCAGGCGCTCTATATGTACATGTACTATATACTACATAGTACATATAGAATGCACTGCAACAATGCATTTACAATTATCCCTCGCTAATATGAATGGGTTAAATGATCCGTAGTACATGATATGTAGCCCTGTACTACGGATCATTTAACCCATTCATGTTAGCAGTGCAGAATTGTATATCTATATGTACTGTACATATACAGCACAAATGTCCCGTACATTGCAGCAATAGATTTACAATGATCCCCTGCTAACATGAATGGGTTAAATGATCCGTAGTACAACTACATGTTATGTACTATTATGTACTATGGATCATGATTTAACCTATTCATGTTAGCAGGGGAGAATTGTAACTCTATTACTGCAGTATACTGGACGTATGTGCTGTATATGTACTATGGATCATGATTTAACCGATTCATGTTAGCAGGGCAGAATTGCGAGCGCCTCCCACAAGCTGAGCACCGAGACGCGATGCAGCGATCTTGCCCAGCGTCGACTACAAGAGGCAACAGAGATCAGAGTGAAACTGTAAGTGAGGGAAGCTGGGACGGGGCTGGCTGTAAATCTATTGCTATAGTGTACTGGACGTGTGTAATGTATATGTAGTACACGTCGATTAGTTGTTGCAGCCCTAGTGCCAAGTATAAATCCTACATAATGCACTAAGCCAGGGTCGCCCACTATTTTTCGTCTGGAGATCTACTTTTCAAATGACGAGCTCATTGAGATCTACCAACGAAAAAACACCTGCATTCAGGGGCGGGAGGGGGCGTAGGCTGCGCAGGCAGGCCCCTCGCCAAGCAGCGGGGGGCAGAGCTGCTGTGACAGAACAGACGAGCAGTGAGGGGAGAGACAGGCGCCGGCTGTCAGATCCTGGCCGAGCGTCTCTCTCTCTCCTCACTGCTCTGCATTAGTTAGTAACAGCGGCTCCGTCCTCCGCCCTCCCCCGCCGCCGGTTCCTTCACTTCTTCTCGGATCCCCGCTGTGGAGAGCAGCGGGGATCCAGAGAAGCGGCGGGAGGAGAGGACATGGCGATCTACCAGTGATCGCTACGCGATCGACTGGTAGATCGCGATCGACCTTGTGGGCACCCCTGCACTAAGCACGAGTCACTGTAGGTCCTTTCTAGTGTTTTGAAATCCTGGTAAGCAGATTCCAATTGCTGCTCTGGTTACAGCACCAGCTTGTCCTCTGGTCCCTGTTATTCTGTCAGCCATTTGCTTTGACTTCAAACTGTGATATGACTGTGGCTAAACAGAGTCCATCCTGGCTTTGGCTATTTATGGACTCTGAATGATTATAGACTCTGAATAATTTAATTGTTCCATTTCGTGCAGCAGCGAAAAACTGAGACAGAATTTCCCGGTACATATGCCCGATCTCATTAAAACATTCTTTTATCTTCATCATACATTTCATAAAGCTATATATTTAAAAAAAACTTTTTAATTATTTTAATTCTTTTAGGCTATGTATAAAACCAGCATTTGCTTTTTAAATCATATGCTAAGATATGTATGTAGTATATTTGGGTGAACATTTGTATTCTTATTTGTATTTGCATTTTTAATCATTAGAAACCTCTTCCTTTCGATCATGGTATCACGCAAATTTTTTTTATATGTAAATGATCGTAGTCTTCCAGCTACACATACAGCTTTAAGGATAATTTATAATATGCCTTTAGCTTAAGCGGGAAAATCCATTTCGAATCCCAGTGACCCCAGGTGTTTCTTAATGGTAAGCCTGAGCTGAGTCGCGCTTTGAAAAAGGGAACCAATTGAACACTCCCTATTGGTTCTGATGAAGGAGGCGTGGCCTCGGAAACATAAACCTCAGGGAGGAAGAGTAGCCGGTGGGCTAAGCTTTTCACGTTTTTATCTATTCATGCCTGTAAAAATTCTACCTTTGTGAGTATGGTTTAACTTGTTTAAATCCACTTTATTAAAACGTTTTTACGCGATGGAGGTGCTCTTTGTATTTTGTTTCTTCCAGAGTTGAGGCTTCCCCAGAGCTTGTCTGAGAGCCTGCCCCACCTGCGGTTTGCTTTGAGATTACTGCAGATATTCTCCGTGTTTGGATACAAGCCGCTGGCGCTTCTGTCACATACGGTTTACATACTTGCTTATAAAGTCTTATAGAATCTGTACTTTGCGCCAGGTTCCAGTCACCCCATGGCAACAGGTTAACTGTAATGCACCACTTCCCAATGGAATATACGCATGTTCCTTTCCTACCCCTGTTGCTCCATTTAACAACCAGCAGAGGAAGGAAAGCCTTGTGTAAGCTGTCCCTTTAAGAAAAAGTATCGGTAATTGGTATCGGCAAGTACATGAGGGGATGTACTTGTGCTTGGGCCTGAAAAAGTGGCATCGGGACATCCCTAGTAACAAGGACACTCCACTGTAGTCCAGGTAAGTCCAGTAAAACGCAGTTTATTAAAAGGGCAAACAAATATATAATTCCATCCACAGGGTAGACCTCCCCTGTGCACAAGATGGTTTCTAGCTGCAACATAAAGGACAGTCTTTTTAGCTTCGCTCTGTAGCTTTCCACAGATCCAAGACACTTACGCTGCTCACCCATCGTGAGCCCTCAATCTGCTCTCTTAGCAGTGTGTACCTGAGGTCCTAGGGTCACCGTCCTTCCTGACCTCTCCCAGCCTCCCCCGGCTGTTCCGTGTGCGTCCAGCACGCACCAGAGTCTGCGTGTGTCCGTGTGCCCCCTGCACACACACA